AAAATCCATAGCTAATTTGCTACTGCAATACGGGGGTGGATCTACACATCCGTTTCAAGACGAGATTATAATGAGACACGGTCCATTATCTTCTCTAATTGGGACCTGGAGATATTTCACTCTTACAGAGAGATGCTAAGTTGTGCAGACTATCTAGCAAGGAGTGCTCATCATGTTTCTACGAAGGTGAACCAGATCCAACATCCTCCAAGTTTTTGTGTTCAACAGATGCAACGAGATTGGGTGTATAGCCATAGGGCGCCTCTAGATTAATTTCTTTAGGCTATTTTTTGTATTTTCAAGCTAAGGCTTGCCGTTCTCTCTTTAAAAAAAAAAAATTGCTACTCTAGTGAATACCAAATTTGGGAAGCTGAATGGATATTCTGTTTGGTGGTCTGTATCAAGTGAGGAATAAAAGATCCTTCATTATAAGAAAATTAATCAGGAGTTAGGATCTAATATCTGAAGATTGTGTCATCAACAACAGTATGCATCCCTCATTTGCCAAAGTAAATTTACTTTTTTATTAATCATTTAAACAAGATTCAGCTTCTTAAACTGATATTTTTCCAAACATAAATCATATCACATTATCTTACTTTTATCTAATCTAATTTTTACAAAAGTCAAGTTGGAAAAAAAGTAACTTCTCTCACTGCTAATCTAAACACATTCTTAAACAATTTTGTAGGGACTTTCAAGCAAACATCTTTACAGTAATAAGACTCTAACACTACCATCTTCCCTTTTGAGTCTTCTTAATCATGTCAATAGCTAGTTTCTTTGGTTTTCTGACTTATTAAAAAAAAAAAAAGACTCTAACACTATCATAGTAGTCATGACATCACAGGATCCCACAAAACACACCAATTTAGCACCATATACTCCATAGGTTTACGAAACATAATAAACCACAATCACTTTTGCTAACTGCATCATCTGTTTAAAAAAAAATGTAAAGAAAGGAGTAAGTCTACCATTGACTCAGTGAGAACATAAATAACAAAATGCGGAGAAGGGAAGCAAAGGCGCATAAGAGTTTTTTGCAAGTGAATTTCATTAAAATAAAAAAAAAGATTATTCAAATGTGACGTTGAAAATTTTACACAATAAGGAGAATGAATACAAATTTTCTTAATCTTCATCTACAAAACAGACAATTAAGTATCATTCATCAAACATTCAATCACAATAACCTTTTAATCAATATCCAACACCAATCATGTGGGGAAATAACCACCCCTTCTATAAATATATAAAAACATTCCAACATATCATATCTTTATCCATTCCAATATCTCATATAGCATATCGCAAATAACTCATAGTGAGGAATAACCGTCCCACCTATAGTTATACATTTCAATATATTTCATATACTCATATATCGTATAACTCATGATAAGGAATAACCGTCCCACCTATACACACACACACAAACATTCCATGTACTCATAGTTCCAATAATCGTATACGTTCCACATACGTACGTACATTCCCCACACACACACACGAATGTACATTTCGACATTTATACATTTCAATACTTATATTGCAATATATATACATTCTAACACTTCTATTCCAATATATATGCATACCAATAAGCATTCCGTATATATACACCATATATTCCAATTGTGTGTTACACACTCCGATACTTCTACATATACTCCAATACTTGCATACATTCTACACTCACACACACCATACGTTACAAAAATATATTAAAAAATTTTAAAACGTAAATAAACTTGAACTCAGTTTAGTTATGGAGAAAGAAATAAAAAGATTTGAAGAAGAAAAATGACAAAAAATATTTGAGGCAATACTTTTCCTCCATTAAAAAAAAATAAATCATTTTTTTAAAACATTAAACAAGTTTGAAATAAATAAAATAAATGATTAATTGAAATGATAAGAAAGCATAATTTTTTTCCTCCGCTAAACTAAGTCAGTTTTTTTTTATAAAAAAAATAGCATAAGTTTAAAATCAAGTTAATGAAAAAGATTTAAAGGAAGTGAAAATGAAAGAATTAACTGAAATAAAACCAACCTATTTTTCACTGTTAAAAAATTACATCAATTTAATTTTCGAAGATATAAAGAAACTTTGAAATGCAAATAAAAAAAGATTAAGGGAAGAAAGAATTACTTAAAAAAACATAATTCTTTTGCAATAAATCAGTTTATATTTTGAAAACATAAATATCAAAATCAAAGCTGGTTAAAAAAAGAAGGAAAAGATTTTAAAAAAAGTTATAAACGGTAGAGAGAGAAAAAAAAAACATAAATATAAAAGTATCGGTTGAAGACCAATGCTAACAAATATTATTGTATCTGTTTGAATTCAAGAAACAATCCTTTGCCAAGGCAAACAAAACACAAAAGAAATCACCGTAAAAAAATTATTGGAACAAATTCCTATGATTCGGAAGTACTCTTCCAATTCTTAATATAGGACCAATTATTAAGTTAATTTTAGTCCTAAATATAAAACCTATTTATCATATTTATTAATTTTTTTTAAATTACCCTTATAGATACTCCCTCCACCACAATTAAGTAGAAGAGGAGAGGAGATATTAAGAAAGATGATTATGATATTTTAGAAAAAATATGTCATATTTTTTGTAATTAACTAATTTACCTAACTTTCTTAATCTAATCAAATTAGTTAAAAATATTTTATATTAAGTATCATAGGAGTATAAATAAAGAGGTAAAACAACCAATTTGAAATTGCTTCCCAACCAAACTAGAATAAGAAAAACAAGAAAATTGTAGATAAGGTTAAGAGTATAGAAAGGTGAAACAAATGGTGCCACCTTGCTATTTACACCTTCACCTGATGAGACCGACAGCAAAGATCCCCTTTTGCTACCGGTGAAGATTCATCCCTCTTATTACTATAAAAATCTTCCTAACATCACCTAGTAAAAAATAGAGATCGCACTCTACAAAGTTCTTCCAGGATTTTGACGTCCAAGAAGAGAAGGAGGATGCGGCAGGAACAAAGCAGGGGGGGTTGAGGGATGAGGTGACGTTAGAGCAATTTTTCCCTCTTTACACTAGCAAATAGCGTGTGCATATCAACGCACACTGTCCATTGTTTCCTTTATTTTCTTTTTTTCCCTTTTTTATAAGAAAATCATTAACCATACCCATTTTTTTTTCAGAAAATCATTAACCATACCTATGTGATGCTTATTTTAAAATTATTAAATCTAAGTATTATTCCTCACATCCATTCCATTCATTTTGTGTAAATGTTGACACATTTTTTTCTTATTTATAAGATACGAAGAAAGTTGCTTAATTTATTTTGAAATTTGAATTTTAAAATATTTTGTGGATTTTTTTTTCTGGCGAAAGTATCTTAGATAATATTCGTTGAAATTAAGTTAAATTTAATAAGGAGGTAATATTTTTTTTAAAAAAAATATATCTTCTCATAAATCAAAATTTTTAAGTGTATTATGGATGAAGAGAAGGTTATTATAAACATCTAGAATTTTATGTCCCTTAGTTTACTAAATATAAATATTTTTCATGATTATATTTTTTTTGTCAGATTCAAATTATTTTATTTTAAGATTGTGTTAAGAGTACTAGGAGAATCTTATTGGATATGGGATAGATGCATGACTTAGAAGTTAACTTAAATTTTTGAAAAAAGGTTTACGAAATTTTTGACGCAATTATTTAACGTTACCTTTTTCTTTGATAAGAGGGAAAAATAAACTACTGATCCACATTACAAGAGGCAAAATCAAAAGCGGCAATAGTACTAGATAGGTGAAGACCAGCCGGAAGGGACAAAGCTTTCTTAGCAAGTTTGTCAGCTTCGGTGTTGTTCTCCCTCCTTGAATGACCGGCTTCCACAAGCCATTCTCGCTGGAGCAAGTCCCGACATTGTTTGGAGCAAATTTACCTATCGTAGTTCTCAAAAAGAGCACCACGCCCCATGATAAATTTTTTTTGGGGGTTGACCTCAATATTTTTGGCCTTTTCTGTAGCTGCAATCAGATTTGCCTCCACAAGAGAGGATTTTTCTCCTTTCTAGATGCCAAACAAACATTCCTTGCCCGTTCTTTTGTAAAATTTCCCCGTATTAATACATATCACTCCTTTCAGTTCTAAACATAAAACCTATTTTATAGTATAAATTACATTAAAAAATAGATTTTATATTTAAGACCGAAGGAGTATGATTTTATCCCTAAATCTATGTGACTTTGGCTACTTCATGCTAATAAAATATGAGAACATATTTTGCAACCATTTTATGGCAATCTTATTTTCCATACACTACTTGCATTTGGCGAACAATATAAATTCCTTAATATTCCACAATCCCATTTACATATATTTGTCCAATCCCAAGTAACAAGTAACTCCTCATGATAAATAATTTTTTAAAGGCTTTTTCGAATCTCAGTCCTAATCGTTATCTCTCATTTCTAATATTCCATACAAAACAAAACCACAGTTCTGGGAAACTTGAAGATGATACTTAGGGATGTAGTGAGATCTGACACTCTCATGAGCTTGAAAATCATCACTGTGGAATGATGTCCAAAACTAAAGACTCAATTCTCAGGGACAAATTTTACTTCAACTTCAGAATCTGGAAGAAAGTAGTATCCGCAGTTGTACTGGCATGGACACATAATGAAAGGAGAAGATGGGAGATTTCATGGGAGGTGGTGATTTTGGAATCTAGCATCCAAAGTTGAAGAGGATGAAACAAAGTTCATGCCTTTTTTGAAGAATAAATATGATGGAACTTGAAGTCTTGAAATAGCATCATGTAAAGCTCTGAAGAGGCTTCCTCTTGATTTGTCAACACGTACTCTTGAAGAAATCAAAACAGCCATAACATGATGGAACTCATTGGAGTAGGATCAACCTGACTATAAAAATGTCCTGCAGCCTTACCTTCCAGTTGATAAGTAAGAGTGACAAGTAATTTATCTCCTCAAGGAGCTCTTAAAATCTTTGATATGAGATAATTTTCATTTTTTTTCCACTATTATTTTTTTCTCTTGTCAATAGCATCACTCCATTCTTTCTTAAATACACACAACTCCATCAACTTCTAAACTTAATCACCTCAAAGAGAATCCTCACGGATACAGTAGCTACATACATTTGTTGTCTCGTACAGAATCAATTCATTATGGGATGCTTTATTGTTAAGCAACCATCATGTAGCTATAAGCATTATAACTTCCTAGACAGAAAGACGTCCGAATTCTAAAGGCTTGGGTCAGAATGGCCTGTGCAGGTTCATGGAAGAAGCAGAATCTTCCCAATATGTTTGCTGCTTTCCATGAGCCGATGAGCATCTGCCGCTTCAGACAGAGGAAATGATTTGTACACCACTGGCTTAACCTTGCCTGCTTCAATTGCTGGCCACACATGCTTCTCCACTTCACTGACGATCATGGCTTTATTTTCAGGACTCCTATTGCGCAAGCCAGCACCTGCATAGAAATTGACCATGTGATATAACTTGGGTTCATCTGTAAACCCAGACAAAGTGCATAGTTTAAAAAGAAAAAGCATAATGAAAGGAGAGCAAATATAAGGTTGAAGTTATGTTGAGAAATGAATTAAATCAGCCAGGAGCCCGGTTCCCCTATAAAGAACAAGGCTTGATTGTTAAGATGCACTCTAAAGTCAAATTATCACTATCGTTTTTGCAGTAGCGGAAGTAAGCTTTATCAGCTGTTGGATTATATGGATTGAAGTAAAGTGATCTTGAACCAAATTAAAAAAGCAAACGAAGAATCTTTATCAGAACTGAACCTGAAAAAGAATCAAGAAAGAAAGCAATACCTTGAACAGTAAGACGCTTAGCAAGTAAAGAAGCAAGATTTACTTCAGTAGATGTACCCCCCTGAAAGCCAATAATGAACAGCCTCCCATCAACGCTCAAGCTCTCAAGGTTCCGGCTATAATAGGATGCTCCCATACAATCAAGAATAACATTGACACCTATCATTAAACATCAATTACATTATGTAAACATTAGATCAATCAAGCATCAAGGGGTACTGAACAGATTCAGATCAATGCTTAAATGCTTAGGCCTTCATACAACAGAATACCTTGACCACCTGTTTCTTCCTTTACCCTCGCAACAAAGTCCTCCGTTTTGTAATTGATGCATACATCAGCACCAAGATCCTTGCAGAAAGCTAATTTCTCTTCACTTCCTGCTAATCCACATCTAAAAAAATGAGTGCTTGGCATTCACTACTCAGAAATTTCAATCAAAGAGATGCATGGTTAGCTCACGAAATGTGCCAATTTTAATGGACCTATTGAAGACAGTTAATTTACAAGAAAAAAGTCGTATAAAAACTCCTGGACCTGCTGTAACAAATACCCTGACTCCATGATACTTAGCTATTTGAATGGCAAATGTACCAATTCCACTAGAGCCACCGTGCACCTGAGAATTAATGAATTCAGGTTAACATAACTATTATTAAGTCACAACTAGAGACTCAAAGAAGGCCAGCACCACAGAAGGGAAAAATTCAGGTCATTTACCTAGAGCATACAGAATCTATAATTTGGTAAAGGACTAAAGGTACTTCAGGAAGTATAGATGTATTAATAGAATATGTTTCAAGTTATGAATGGATGTTATCCAATAAAATATTTACATCCTTGTGCGTCTTAAAACTAATTCAAACATGTTTTAAATTCCCAAATCAGTGGTGAAAACCAAATATAACATCAGAGTTGTGAAGTTCTATGCATGCGTTCAACCCAAACTCTATGCATGCATTCAACCAAATAAGAGTTAATTAAACAGAAAGGGGGGGGGGGAAGCACTAGTAAGCTGCACAGCTTCATTTAGAGTGGTAAAAATTGACAAGATCGGAGTCATGAGATATGCTGCATCTGCCGACTTAGTTCAAAACAATATAGGTATTGAACATTAGCTGAAAAAATAATTTTCTCTTCATAGATTAAATTATTAGAATCAAAATTTACCAAGAATGTTTCTCCTTTAGATAGCCGGCTCATCATAAAAACAGTAGACCACACAGTACATGCAACCTCAGGAAATGCAGCTGCATCCTTTAGAGAAACTGCAGGTGGAATCGGAAGAACTTGTCCAGCAGGGACGGCAACTTTCTCAGCATAACCCCCTCCACCAAGAAGAGCACATACCTATAAGCCCCACCTTATATATTAATGCATTTTTAATTCATTCACACATTACACGACTAGCAGGTTTCGACCACTTGAGTAAAACAGAAACTTCAGGTCAATGCTAATCAATGGAACACAAAGGACCCCAATATCAGTGTATTCGATCATTACTGAGGTTAAACGCATTGTTTTATTCAATAACCTTCATAGTTCATTTGCAACAAGAAGGGAGAAGTAATTTTAGCTATCAACCTGAGCATACTAGAACATAACAACACATAAAGCTTATTCCTTTGAAAGGCGAATGTTCTGCTTGTCTCCAACTAAGAAAGGTCCACAATACACAGAAACCGTGAAATTATCACAAGACGCAGTAGAAGAACTTTCCATTTTTGAGAGACCCAACAACTAAGTGCACGAACGCAATATTCCCTTGATATCTTTCTCATCGTTTCCTCAGAAACGTAGATTCTTAAAAATATCACCACCCTGCAAACCCAAAACTTGGAACATTCAAGGTTGAGTACCTGGTCACCGATTTTCCACCTGACAACATTTTTGCCCACAGATTCAACAGTTCCGGAACACTCCAATCCTGGGTAAGGGCTCGCGCCTCTCGGGGGAGGGTATGATCCTTTCCTCTGAATCGTATCGGCTCGATTCAGAGCGGTTGCGGCTATTTTGATGAGGACCTCATCGTCTTTGATCTGTGGGTCTTCTACTTCTTGAAGTTGCAACACTTCTGGGCCACCTGCGGTAGTTATCACTACAGCCTTCATTTTGTGAAAGCTGACTTTGCTTCGTCTCCCCGTCGCTAGAACTAGAAGGTCACTCACAGAACTTGCTAGCAATGCTCCTTGTATTCCTCGGCACCCATCATCGTAAAATAATACGGTGTCGTATCCTGATGAATGATTTTGCGCAAATCAACCACATATTCGAGCAGGTTATCACACATTAGTGATATTACATTTTAGTTTTATATCATTGTTATATTTTGCATTCACTAAAATGACTTTTAGTGAATGTATATTTTGCACAAATTATTGTCATTTTCAAGAAAAAAATCAATTCAAAATTAAAAAGACTCCATTATATAGGCAATGATGTTAAGACGACATGGAAAATTTAAAAAAAAGAAAAAATCACACCCTCACATATTTTAGCATGACCAGCACGAGGTATAAAGAATTTCTCACTTTATAAGCCTATTTAACTTTATATTTTTCTATTTACCATCAGCAAAGTCTACTTCATTAGTATAATATCTAGTAAAATTATAATATTTATTCATTAAACTTTGTGAAATTCAACAAGGATATCCAAACGTAATTCTAACAATCAATCAGCCATTCTTTTTTTGTTCAACCATGATTTGAGACCTCCTACCCCTCCCTCTATACATACATACATACATACATACATACATACATACATACATACATACATACATATATATATATATAACATCTTGCTTACAATTTTGTGAAGCAACTTTCTTTATAACAAAAAGAATAAATCAAACTTATCATAAAATTAACTTTATCAGAACAATTAATACCACGTTCTAATAACCAAGTGATTCTCTCTACAATAGAGATGATTGAGCAGATTTATTTATGCAATTTGAAATACTTATGTTTGATAAGTATAAAGTCACACAATTTATTACTGAAATAATTTAAGAATTTGTGAATAAATTTTGAATCATCTCGAGAATCATATTTCAATGATCAATATCTATAAAGTGCCTAAAATAAATGACTGTAATACATATTCATTGATATATTCCACAGTAGCAAATAGATAGTTCTTATCACTGAATATATTTATAAAACATATTTATAATCTTAACATAACAATGAAAATAACCATAAACGGAACTTTAATAAAAGAATTTCTTTTCAATAATACGAAACAATTACGAAAACCTTTTTTTCCTGGACACTTTTTTTGGCAGAGGAACAAACACAACGAAAAACAAGTCCAACTCGAAAGCAATGAATAATAAGCGTAGCAGGCGTAACTCTTAGGGTTTGAATAATAGGCGTAGCTTGAATGCTACAAATGACAAGCACAGCTTGACTACAAATAACTGGAATAAAAATTTTCAAAATATTATAAGAAACCATTCGTTTCAATTTAAGAAGATATTGCTCTTGTACATTATGAAAAATCGATCGTGTGAAAGACTTTATACTCACTTGTTAACTAATGATTTCAACTAGAATGATCAATTTTTAGCTTTTATCGTAACTCTATTTGCCTTGATTTTTGAGCAGTTTGTTTCACAAAATAGGTGCACATTTAAAACTTAAACCAATCTTAATATTGCCTGACAATCATTTCATATACTTATAAAATCAAGTAAGATAATCATGCAATCTTCAACAGTTCAAACAAATCTGTGAATCCAGATAATATGGAGACAATACAATCAAATTACCTTATCAACATTAACAATGCTTTATATCTGGACCTTTGGGCTACTCTCTAGAGAAACCATCTGAACATAATATAAAGGCTGTCATACATCTGTATGGCCATCCACAATACAGAAATCCAGATGCATCCCCTGTTGATGTCATACTCACCAATTTAAATGTAGTTCATAAGCCAGAAAATGCACTAAGAACTGAGTATCAGCATTAAATTTATTCTTCTTTTCTTCCGTAACCCACTCTAATATCCTTATCTTCAATTTCTAATCTCTAAATCCAAGTGTTGTAAAATAAAATTTAACCAAAATTATGACAATCACCTATACATTCTCTTCTAGAAGCATGCTATATGTTCTCTTCTGAAGCCATTTTAACGAGCAGTTAATATGCACTAGCTGACCCATTTATTAGACACGTATGCACAAGTTCGTTTTATTTTTTTCCTTCATACCGTTACCAATCACCCGGTTCAAGTTAATTGTTTATACATTCAAAGACACTAAAAGCTAATAAAGAAGTGGTCCTATCTCCTTGAATTCCCGCCAACAATCAGTCATTTTTCTCCAATGTTTAGAGTTTACAATCAGCAAAGAAAACTTTTCAAATAGGTACAAATAATTGTAGCCTAGAGAAACAGATTTTACAGAGAAGAGGGAGAGGAAGAGCTCAATTTGCGTGAAGAAAAGAACCTCTTGCTCAACAGTTGAGGTGTCAGCTGAGATACCCCTTAATTTTGGAATTCATCCCAAATGTTTTTTAAGCTTCTTTTTTATTTTTCAATTTTTTATGATTTTTCAAAGATTTCATACTCTAAGTTAAAAAGAAACCCGACCATTTAAAACATTAGTCTTTATAATTTAATAAAAACTGAACTATTTTGCTTATTGAAGGATCAAAATATACTCTTATTCAACAAATATCATTTAAAGACTCTTTAAAATGATCTGGGGATTTCCAGCTTGTTATAAAGAGTACTATTAACTGAGAATGAATTCAGTGATTGATAACAAAGGAGAATTTGAATCTTCAGCTATTCTTTTGACTTCTTAATTTCCTTTACTCTATTCTTTTCCATGATTGCATTTATACTTGTTTTGTGCTTTTACTTTGTGTAGTTACAAAAGCAAGAGATGCAAGATACTGTTTGATATGTCCCAGTCATTTTTCTTCATCAGTGGTAATATTGCTATTAATAACATGGTAATAGTGAAAGCAATGTAAGTGGTCCTGTTATGCACGTATTAATGGTTCTATACCAAGAAAAGTTGCATTGCCATGATCCAATATCTGAAACTTGTAATCTCCGGAAGCACTTTTTCTTTATGAACAATGATTATCTTACTTGCATTGTAGCTTTACTATCTATTAAGTATCTGAACTATTGTCCTTTGTCTTGGCTGAAACTCTGGCATTCTGGTTTAGATCCATTTAATTAGTTTCTATTTGCTCTATAAAAAATGTTGCTATTAAATTTCAGGGGAAAGACAGTCTACAACACGTTGTAAATGTGATGCACAATGGACATCAACCTGAAATTCAGTGCTCCTTTGTGAAACTTATAATACTTTTGCCTAAATATCGTTCTTTTCTTCTTTTTTTTTTGGTAGTACCTAAATATCGTTCAATTCATGTTGTTGGAGACACGAATTGGATTCTACCAAGTGGTTTTTTCCCCTCCAAAACAAATGCTTCTCCAAGTACAATAACATTCATTTGTAGGGAAACACGGTGTAAAACCTGTAACTAGTGCTTCGTTGAAATTTTTTAATATTTTTGTCCAAATTCTGTTCACTTATAAGTTGCAAATGTTCTCTCATCCGTATCCCTGTTGGATCTACTACGTCCATTCCTTAATATAAGATCTAGTTGATTAATTTGAAAAAATTAAGTTACTAAATTACTTAATTATAGCATATATTGGAAGCACTAGTGCAAAATATTACTTTAAAAAAAATGAGGCAATATTTATATGATTTAAACAAATGTAATGAAAAAGTGCAATTTTTACTAAGCTTTTAGATATCTTAAGCATGTATGATCCCTCCAGTTATTACAGTAAACAAGTAAAGTTTCTTTATCTAATTAATTCTTCCTCTTATTGTTAGTTCTTTGGTCTCATGTGTGGTAACTAACAAATTCGATAGAGTCTAATTAACTTTATTCACGTGCATATATATATTGAAATTACTTGTACTAATAAGCAAGGTAGGAAAGTTAAGTTGGAAGGAGAAAATTGAGAATTGAGTTGATGTGCCTTTGCATTCAAATCCTTCTGGCATATACTGTGTGTGTTTAACTCTTCATGAACCCCCCTTAAATTTACATATCAAACTTGCAAAAGGAAATCTACCAGGAGTGCTTGTTTGACTTATTATTCGGTGAAAAAGGAAACATTTTTGAAGTCTCTTAACATCTTTCCATCCTATCAATAGTACATGCGTGTGTGTGTAAATGCCATGGGTACAAATTCCATGATTTCTGCTTCAGTTTCTCAACCTAACAACTATATTTAAATAATCAGCCCAGAATAAAATTGCTTCAATTTGCTTAACTTTCACATGCCAAGTACTAAACACACAAACCTCTAAGCCAAAAAAAAAAAGGTTTCAAACTGTAACAAACAGGGGAAAACAAAAAAAAATCCATTTTTGGAGTTACCAAATTAATGAATCTAAAGCCTGTGAGCAAAATCCCAATGAATAATTTTGCAATCGAAACATATTCGCTTCAAGAGGAAAAGAGGGATTGGGAGTTGGGATGAGGAAGAAAAGGATTGGGACGAAGAAGAGAGGAGAGGCCAAGAGCATCATCAACTAGCCGAGATTGAGGGAAGATAGCGTCGATCGCTGAGCTTGAGCAGATAGAGACGTGCTGAGAGGACTGGGTCTATGAGGGGAATAGTGTCAAGAGCCACCACCAACGATGCAAGATCAAGAACCAGAGCAAAGTGAGAGAAAAGGGAGTTAAGTGTAGTAACGACGAATTTGAGGGGAGAGGCAGAGAGCACGATATGAGAAAGTGAGAGAGTTGGGTTAAGACTAGGGGTTCAAGGTTAAAAGTGTCGTGGGAGGAGGAGAATGAGGGAAGGAAATTCAATATATTTTAGGGTTAATGTACAATTTTAATAACAAAATTTACCCTAAAAGGTACTGGACACTATAAAATTTATTTATGTGCAAAAATATATATAAAGTTATCAAAAGGCGGTATTTGGCACTACACTGTTAATGCTTGTTAGTATACTGTTAGAGGGATCTACAAAGTCAGTTTTAAGATGCATTTTTAACAATAAAGTTTATATCAAGAGGTATTAAATATCATGAAATTTACTTGGGTGTAAAAATATACATGACCTTTCTGAAAATGAAAAAGATAACAAAATTCTCCAACTCTCATAAACTTCCATTAACTTTATTTTTTTGGGTCTTACTAAATATCACTTCTTCTCTCTACTCAGTCCTACTTCCTCTTCTCCTTAGTATAATGGATAAATTTGAAAAAAATTAAAGAAGTAAAACAACTGCTTAAACATAACATATAGTATATGATCTCTCTAAAATATTTATATGCATCATTTGATTATATATTAGTTTATAAGCCAAGTAAATTAATTTAGAGAAAAATAGTAAATATAATATTTTAAAGTAATTTATGTAATTTTTTTTAATCTTCTCGAATTAGTCATCCTACATTAAGGATTGGAGGTAGTACTTGGGTGCAAGCAATGAACCTCGTATCCTAGAAGGGAAAACATTGTTTTGTGTAAATATATATAAAAGACTTGGAGATTGAGAAAACGATATGACAAAGAGAGTGTGCGTGTTGATTATAATGAGAGAAAAATGGATAGACTTTGAAGTGAAAATTAATGGAGAGAAAATATAGCATTTGGTGGGACTCAAAAGAATAAAACTAATGGATGTTTATGGGAGTTAGAGAATTTTGTTATCTTTTTTTTTTTTAGAAAGGTCATGTATATTTTTACACCTAAGTAAACTTCATGGTACCTAATGCCCCTTGATGTAAACTTGATTGTTAAAAATATATCTTAAAACTGACTTCGTGGGTCCCTCTAACGTAAACTAACGGACAATAAGAGCATAGTGCTAGATGCCCTCTTTTAATAACTTCATGTATATTTTTGCACCTAAATAAATATTATGGTACCCAGTACCCTTTAGGTAAACTTTATTGTTAAAATTATACTTTAACCCTATATTTTAATATTTAATCAGATTTTTCTAATTATTATAACTATTTTCTAACTTCAGTCATAGGTGATATCTTTTACTATTATTGTTTTCACTACAACACATGTACAGAAGTCATAGGTAATATCTTTTACTATTGTTGCTTTCACTACAACGTATATACAGTAGCAAAAGGCTATTTTTAACAGATGTTGTATGGGTATTTGGCATCATCATATGATCTCTAAAATACTTATATTTATCATTAGATTATATATCATATGTTCCTCATAGGAAGACTGGAAAAATGACTTCCTCTGCGAGCATTTTCTTCATCTTTCTTTTGAACTTCAGCAACAGTCATAGGATCCATGGGCTAAGCAATGAGTGTTATTGTATTTAGAGAAGCATTTCTTTCAGACAAACAACATTTAGTAGCATCTAATACATGTTTTACTACCTCTAGTTCTTAATATGAGATCCAGTTGACTAATTTCAAATAAATTAAAAAAAGTTACTAATTTACTTTAAAGTATTTATAAGTTTTTATCCAAACTAAGTTGCTTCTTTTATAAAATTATGACTACTACAAAATAGTGATTCAACTACTATTTTTAGTATCAGTTATACATGGAACAAAAGCTGTATATAACTTGCTTTAGGTTTCCACTGACCCTGATGCAATAAGCTAACTTATGGCTTCTGTTTAACATTGAACAGATTCCATAAATACTTAAAATGATTTTAAATTGCTTTTCATTGTATATATTAGAAATATGATATCTTTTCCTCTATGAAATAAACACACAATTACTTTACTTTTAATCTTTTTAATATCTTTTCCTCTATGAAATAGACACATAATTACTTTACTTCTAATCTTTTTAAACTTACGCTTTTAAAAATTTTAATTTTTTTAAACTTAGATACTTGAGTTTTAACTAGTTTTTAATTTTCCCTTTACATGATTAAAATTTTTTAGTTTTTCAATGAGAACCTTGTTTCTAATTGATTTTACAACTCATGCAGGTAAAAATTTGAAATTTTTTTTTTATATTTAGATGAAAAGGAGGCAATTTTTATTCTACCGCATCTGGCTCAAGGCAGACCAGCAGTTGTATGTCCTTTCCAAATCTACCGCGTCTGGCCCAAAATGAACCAGTCTTCATAAACCTTTTATCTACGGCGTCTGATCTAGATTGGGCCTGTCGCAGCAAGTATTTTTAATTTTTCTTAATGTATGGTGTCTGGACCAAGTCTCAACGAGCCCCTCCCCAACTTATTTTCCACTACCGCCTCTTCACTTCGCTCGATTGCTCGATCTCTTGCCTTCCTCTTGTTCTTTCTTCACTTCTGTCTGTGGATCTTCGTTGGGTTTCGTCGTCTATCTTCTTCAGTACCCCGTGAGTCTCGCGCTCACTTTAATTTCTTCTTCTCTTGCCTTCCTCTTCCGCTCTGTCTATGTCTCATCAGGGGTTTTCTCCAGTTTGCCGTGAGTGTCGCCTCCTCCACTTCTTTTCACTCTCGTTCTATTCATGGTTGTTCTCCTTTTCGTTCTGGTAACACATTCCGTCTCTGGCTGCTCCTTTTCACTGTGCTCACAGTTTCAGGCTTAGCTCTTGGTAAGTTTTTCGATTTTGCTTCCCATTCTGGATTCTTTTTCGTTTGGGTTCTTTTTATTCCTCTTCTTTGTTATGTTTTCAGCCAAGTGTTGAATTTTTTATTCTGTATTGAGATGATTTTTGTATTCTTGTACTTTGTTATTCTTTGTTTATTGTTTAACCTAGTGTTGATTTTTGTAAAAATATCTGGTTGAAATATCATATGGCTTGACGAATGTGGTATGTAAATCATATAATTCATATTGTACGATTTTTGAATACTATTGAAACAAAGTTGCTGGTCATGGTTCCATTTTTTTAAAACATTTTGGGGGGCGTCGAGCATCTAATGATATTTTCTTCAGAGTTTATTTCCTGTTTGATATTTAGGGAAAAGAAAATCATGTTACCATTTTACGTAAATACCTTTTTAAAATTCTGAACGAGAACAAAATGTGTAGAAACCTGCGAAATTGGTGGGTTTTTCTCAAATGTAACCCAACGTGCCTTCAAGAGTTCTAACACACAAGTCAATGCATTTTTCATTATGCAATCAACCCAAGCAAATTAAATGATGACTTAGAAACCTAGGGCACAACACAAAAAATGGATCATTCCCTATGTTTTTATAAAGCAAAAATTTCAGTTCATTTTTTAAAATGTTTTTTTAGCTATGGCCTATTAGTGTTTATTGATAAAATATTGCTAGTTAATTAATAATGTTCTTGAATTGAAATTCTGAACTCCATTTATACGAGGAATCAAGATACTTGTGCAGTAGTTATCATCTAACATTCAACAAAGTTCAAACATAATATGCTCGTTATTTACTTTGGGATATCAAGGAAAACATTTTTGTTGCCTCTTCCTGAGGGTGTATTAGTTGCTACTGACCTTTATGGCCATTTTCTTCTACATTATCTAGAGCTCTTCCTGGCTCAAATTCCTGGAAATTTTTTCAATCCTCTTAAACTTACCAAGTTCCTTAACTTTTAAGTGGCATTCCTTTTCTTTTTCATGGGCTGGAATTGTTTTTATTTTATATGCTCCCTAAGATTAAGTTGTTTAAACTTTTGATCATGAAATTTGTTTCTTAAATTTTAGCTGCTTTTTAGGGCCTTTCTTGCTAGATATAATGGAACGGTTAGGGGACTGGCTTTGATATTTACTTCTCCATGCCGTGAGGCAATGCATCTGTAGCTGCTATGGAATGATCAAGTGGTTGAGTAAGTAGATTATTCATTCATTTATTTGTTTCTCTTATATGGAATACTGTGAGCCATAGTTTCTGCATGAATGCAATGGTTATTAACTTGAATCAATGGTCTTGAGAATGTATGACTATACTATTTTATATTTGTTTTGTAAAGTATTTTATTATTGGAGTCTTTTCTCCTTATTGACACCCTTCTGCTTGATCATAATGTGCAATATGATATTGTCTCCCATCTACTGTGGATGATTAATAGTGAACAGCTCTAGTAATACCTTTCCTGAAAAACTTCAATGTGCTTAGGCATCAAATTCACAGAATACAACTGGTAAACCGTACACGTCCAAACATACTCCTATCTTTAAAACTTATTGCTTATTACATTACAAAGTAATTTACTTTTCACGTTGAGATTCAAGTCATTTATATTTTTAAGTTGTAAAAAAGCCTTCTATTTTTTATGTTTAAGGTCTAGAATGCTTTGAAAGTTTTTGGGTTATGACAGAAGAAAGTAATTCTTGGGATATGGTCAGTGAGAATGATCTATAGAAAAGTAAAGATATTGAGTCAGACAAAGAATGTTATGTCCTCATTAGACCATACTAAGGTATCTCCACAATTTAGGAAGCTTTATACATGTTATGCTTTACTTGGGATTTAATAGCGATCTGTATATCCACAAAACTTTATTTATTATACAGTTCTGTGTTTATAATGAATTGAAAATATGGCATATTTGAGTCCTAGTGCTTCTTATTGGATCCCTTATTTGGACAAGTCCAGCTACGTTGGTATCTTTTATCAGCTCCAGATTTTAGGGTTATTTTTTTAAATTATTTGTCAGCTTCAGTTTTCAAAGGTAACATCTCGTATGAAATAATGTTCTTAGGTGGAGGATTTTCCTTGGGTTTCTCTCATTCCTGCAACAATACTTCGGGCTTGAAGAGCATGTTAGCCAAGTTAGTCAGAGCATCTGGCTTTTATATTTACGTGTTATCACAAATTTATGCAACTGCTGAAATTTAGGTTGGCTTTGGCATTTGTAGTCCTTGTGACATTGGATATGTACAGAGGTGCTTGTACGTATTTGTTCATGAGTAATTGGCAATCCCTGGATTTGTGTGTTTTATTTATTTATTCATTTTTTCTAAAAATGACTACTTATGGCGTTTGTTGCATTGAGCAACAGAAGCCATAAGTTGTGACTTATGGTGTCTGTATATGCAGAGGATTTGATTGCCTATATATGGAAGGATTCAATATATATATATGTATTTTAACTTCAGGATGAATTCGGAGAGTTTTATTTAGGACTCAGACGGCATTTATGACAGGTTCATGCATGGTTATGACAATACTTTGTGCTGCTTTTATGAAGTTCATATATATACCTAGATCAATTTCATTTGTTGTTGTTAGAAACTGTACTACTTCAGCCACGGCAAATTCTTTAAGTGGATTCAACTGTTTGAAGAGTAACAGCAACTCAAGTTCTTATAAGCATTTGCTCTCTCATCACCTAAAGAATCTAAGTTTAGATGAAGCTCGCATCGTCTTTGACAAAATCCCATCTCCTGATGTTGCCTTGTATACCATGATGGTGATGGGTTACTCGCAAAATCATAGACTCAGAGAGGCTTTGAATCTCTTTCATAAAATGCCGTATAGGGATGTTGTTTCTTGGAATTCAATGATCAAAGGGTGTTTGGATTGTGGAGATTTCATTATGGCCAAGAGGCTTTTTGATGAAATGCCTAAGAAGAATGTTATTTCCTGGACCACCATTATGAATGGGCTTTTGCAGTTGGGCAGAGTTAAGGATGCTGAAAGATTTTTCCATAAAATGCCTTATAGGGATGTGGCATCGTGGAATGCTATGATTCATGGTTATTGCAGCAATGGTAGAGTTGAAGATGCGTTGCTTTTATTTGAGCACATGCCTACACGCAATGTGATTTCTTGGACTTCTATGATTAGCGGGCTCGACCAGAATGGAAAGAGTGATGAAGCTTTACTTCTTTACCAAAAGATGGTCAGTTTGGGCGTGCATCCCACATCTACTACTTTAGTTTGTGGGTTGAGTGCTGCTGCTAAGATATCAGCTTTGCATGTAGGGCTTCAGATTCACTGTTACATATTTAAGCTAGGTTACTACCTTGATGAGCATGTATATGCTTCACTTGTGACATTTTATGCGAATTGCAAACAAATGGAGGTGGCATACAAGCTTTTTCATGATATATTGCATAAGAATGTTGTGGTATGGACGGCTCTTTTATCAGGATATGCTTTAAACAATAAGCATGAACACGCAATTAAGGTCTTCAGAGAAATGATAAAAACAGCTGTCTTTCCAAATGAATTTTCTGTAACGAGTGCTTTGAATTCATGTTGTGGATTGGAGGACATTGAAAAAGGGAGGGAGATCCATACTATAGCGAGTAAATTAGGTTTGGTGACTAATCCATATGTGGGTAACTCTCTTGTTGTCATGTATAGCAAATGTGGATATATCAATGATGGGATAATTGCATTTAAGAAGATTAGTGAGAAAAATATTGTCTCATGGAACTCAGCCATTGTTGGCTGTGCACAGCATGGGTGTGGCATGTGGGCTTTAATAGTCTTTAAGCAAATGCTATATGAAAGAGTAGATCCAGATGAAATCACACTAACTGGTTTACTTTCAGCATGTAGTCGCTCGGGGATGTTGCAAAAGGCAAAGTGCTTCTTCAAATACTTTGACGAGAAAAGATTAACTGAACTAACAATTGAGCACTATGCATGCATGGTGGATGTACTTGCTCGGTGTGGGGAGTTGGATGAAGCAGAAGGGCTAGCAAGAAGCCTACCTATGAAAGCTAATTCCATGATATGGCTGGTTTTACTGAGTGCATGCAGGATGCATTCTAATTTGGATGTAGCTGAGAGAGCTGCCAAAGAAATTTTTGAACTGAAACCTGATTCAAGTGCAGCTTATGTTTTATTATCTAACTTGTATGCTTCTGCAAGCAAGTGGAGCGAAGTAGCTAGGATACGAAAAATGATGAAACATAAAGGAGTTTCAAAACAACCAGGGTCCAGTTGGATATCCTTGAAAGGTTGGAGGCATGAATTCCTTTCTGGAGATAGGTCCCACCCTCTCAGTGAGAAAATTTATCAAAAGCTAGACTGGTTAGGAGTAAAGCTAAAAGAAATAGGTTATGTTCCTGATCAACAATTTGCTTTACATGATGTTGAAACTGAACAGAGGGAAGAAATGTTGTCTTATCACAGTGAAAGGCTTGCAATTGCATTTGGGTTGCTTAAGACTGTGGAAGGCAGTACAATAACAGTGATGAAAAATCTCCGTATATGTGGGGATTGTCATAATGCAATAAAGCTTATAGCGAAGATTGTTAATCGTGAGATCATAGTAAGAGACTCGAGTCGATTTCATCACTTCAAGGATGGCATTTGTTCTTGTGGGGATTATTGGTAATATACAATTTTGTCCTTCTAATGAGTACTGCAAATCTACTACCAAGGCATTTTATATAATGCTGGAAAGAGGCGTCACTATGGTGCTTGCATGTTGGTTTTCATGAAACTAAGTCTCTTGGACTTCTTTTCAGCCAGTTTAAAGTGATTTTTGGAGGCTGAATTTGACATGAATACCACCACTTGAGCCAATGCTTCTGAGGCAATGAAAGAGTAGCCTAAGCTACATACAGAACTCTTTTCTTGTACTGGTGGAGTGGCATTTCTTTTGGGAGATGTGCTCCTTCAATCTCGATACAGGTAGTTCATATAATGGGTTAATAACCATAATTGCTTATCGATTTTCTCACTGAAAATGCATTTATTCAAATTGAGGCACTGAATGTAGTGTTATTCCTTGCTTTGCAATTTTGATTCATGGAATCAAACAATCAGTTTTTGAAAGTATTTTTTCTATATTTAAAGCTCGTTCCTGTTCATTTTATGCTCGTAGTAGTAGCCAAATTAAGTGCTGAGATAGTTTAATGATTAAGTTGCAAATGATTGACACATTCGACAAATGGACTTGGAAGAAGCCCAAAAATGGGTGCTTCTATCATCAAAAGGAATGGGTTTTGGCTGCAGCTTAGTACTTGTCAAAAAACAGTATTACCTCAACTAAGGCATGTAATTGATCGTTGTTATTTCTTTTGCTGTATCAAAGCAAATACCTAATAAAATAGTAGTCCTGTAATGTGAAAATTGTGTGTATTCAGATACACCTTTGTCAGACCTCAGAAACGTTAATATGTTTGCTTTGAATCAATTGTGATGATTTGTCAGCTATAGTTGTGTTGTCATAACATTGTCAGCATTTATGGCTTTGAAGAGGCTTTTTGTGCGTGGCCTTACAAATGCCTTGGGCTTATGAGGGATGAGCTGGGGTGGGCTCTTATGGCCGAATAAGTTTTCATACTTTTATGGCCGAATAAGTAAATACCTAATAAAATGAAATGTACGGAACGATTTATTTTTATTATGAAGAATCTAGTATGGCTTTTGGTTCCCCTCCATGAACTTTTCTTTTGCATTGGCTGGTGAAATGCTCTACTGTTATCGCCTTCATATAGAGGTTACTTTCTATTAATGACGATCAGAAGAACTTTGGATCAACCATTCTTTTTGCATGCATTCTTTAGTGACATTAATTGTAATAGACTATGGGGATCTTTGCTTGTGAAGTGAAACTGATTCTGCTTCCGTCCTTTTGTGATAATTTTCAGGTTGTTGGTGAAGCTATTGGATGATTTTTTTTCCCTTGTTAATTCTTCTAATATGCTAGAAAACCATTTGGGTTACAACAGAATCTCTTGCAACTCTATTTTCAGTGGTTCTTATGAGACGAAGGTAAATTTATATTTCTAGCTCTTGCTTTTCTTTCCTTTAAGAAGCTTGCCACGTTTTTGCACTTAACTGATTATATGTAAATTATTGACCAATAAAAAAAAAAAGCTCTTTATATAAATTAAACTGCAAATTCAAGTTAGACTTTCTGTGCTAGAGCCAAATCTTCGTGGGCTGTAAAAACTCATTTGTGCACCCTCTTGTATCTAGATCCTTACTTCTAGGCCTATTTGATTGCATCTATTGGAAGAAAATATCTTTCCTTTTTTGATACATAAAGGGAATATCTTTCTATCATGCAAAGAATGAGATATAGCATATCTGTTATTTAATCATAATCATCCTTTCTTTTTAATTTTTTAATTTAATGGATGAAAAATATCTTTATCTATGTTTTAGCCATATCTTTATCTATGTTTTAGCTTTTCCATTCCATTTTATTTTACATATCAAAGCTGCGTGCTTGAGTTTTGCAGCGATTCTTACAGTAGCTTTTGAAGCAGATTTATTTAAAATGGAAAAAAAAATTATAATGTATGATTTTCTAAATTCACCCACTGGAGACTTATTAACAATTAAGCAGTATACTCGTTTACACGTTCAAAAAAGTGTCTAGCCGTTTATCCATTATCTAGTTAGGTTTCAACGGTCAGGAGGAGCTACTCTATTGAGGTGGAACCCATTAATGAAGTTAGTGGAACTCCATAATTTCAAGACTCCTGGGGTACTACATATACATGCGAAAATCTGCTCATGCTATTGTTTGTCCTATATTTCTGAGATTTTTATGCATCTGGAGTTGCTCTCAGAGTTCCAAACAGCTTAATTTGTACATTTTCATGACCTTTTGAAACTATTGGCCTGTTTGTTTCACTTAATCATGGGAAACTCAATGGATTGTAATGATAGGGAATGGAATGTACTGTAATAATGTTTACATACTTTTATTTGTTATGTCATCAAGGAAAGATAATGCTTTGGTATCGAAATGTTTGGCTGGATTACAAATAACGTAGGAATAGATAACAACAAACCTAGAGACAAAATCACCCTTTACCAGATTATGCTCCTTGTATGTGGGTGTCTATATACATGACATGTGTACAGTGGCTTTGCTTTTATACTGTTGCAATCATGTTTATTTATCCCGTTAATTCTTTTCTCTCGTTAGCTTTTATGCAGGACATTTATAATTAAATTCCCTATGTAAATTCTCAACAAACTCCAATATTGAGTGGGCTACTGGAAGACGAGTCCTTCAAAAGCAAGCAGTCATTAGTTGGCTGCAAATGTTGTTGCTTAGATGTAATGAAATTTTGTATCTATGTTAAGTCCTTGCTTAGCATTAAATAATCTCAGCTTCAATTTTAGACACACGGTCTTTGCTCCAAATGTGATAGATCTTCAAATTAAGGCAAGCATTTATTCCTGAAATTTCCAGGTTGCTTCTTAATCTGAAAATGAAGAATGAATAGTCATACAATAATTTTAGCGTCATCATATAACAATATACATTGACACATTAATAATAATATAAACACGGTTGACACATCTATCATCAAACAATTTATAAATTGAATCAAACCTTTTGTATTCCATGCCAGTAGTCATACTCTTGCATCGCTCGGTGAAAATGGCTTTCGCAGCGTCTTTCATCCTTGGGCCTAACCAACAAGACAAGAGCAGCTGCTGATCCTCAAGTCGGTCTTTCGAGGGAACTGGAGAGTCACGAAATCGCCATAGATGAGCTCAACCATCTTCCATCTTCTAGGGTATCTCCTTTTTTGTGCTGCTTTTTCCTTTTTTCAATTCCCATTGCTCGTCTCCTAAATCGTTGCTCCAAAGCAGGGAACTCAGTTGATTTAGCCAGCGGAATTTACAAACATTAGGCTGTTAGGCTTCGGTAAAGTTTGGAAGAATTAACTTTTACAGTTTTGATACTTACGAGTCCAATGGAAGAACTGGCTGTTTAATCAATTTGTAAGCTGAATGGCAGTAGGCTTAGCTAAAGTTTGGGAGAACTAATTCGTAAACCTATATGGATATTTAATGGGATGTTAGATTTTACGGTTTTTCCTTTGAGTTACACATAATTTGTGTATGATATTTTTTTGACGGTTTAATCATGGAGCACTGACCTGTAAATAGAAATTTTCACTTTAGAGAAAATGACTGCAAACACCTTAAATAGAGGTATCTAATTTATTTCCA